CCAACCTGTGGAGACGAATCGGATTCCCCAGTCATGGAACACAATACGAGCTCTGGTTTCACTCTAATGTCCACCTCCCAGAGACCTTACCACTCAGGAAGGAAAATCCAAAAGATTAAAAGCATGTTTTCCTAATTTTGTCGTGTTGAGGTGAAATGTTGCTAGAACGGTTATTTGCATGCACAGACTGGAGCAAGCAGGGTGCTTTGGTTTAGCATTCTCAACCCTGGTTAGGCAAAAACTACAGGTGAAGTTAGGGGCGAGGCCGACAACACCAACACTAGTTTTCTTAGAGCGTCAGCTGACTGAAAGGACAAACAGGCTTTGCTTCATGGTGTTTAAAAGGTGAACTCAGTGCACAGAAGCTCTTACAGTTGGCAGAAAAACAAACCAAATGTCAAAGAGTCTGTGGTAAGAATGCAGCAGAATAAGATGTTGGATGTAAATGTTGTGTAAAACAAAAAATACTCTTTTAAAGCTGTCGTAGCGAATCTGCAAACAAGCTAGGTTTTAAAAGAAAACGCAGTCAGAAAAAACGAACCCCTCCCCTCGGGTGTTTTGCCTGGGATGCCTGTGCCTGAACCGGAAACCCGCATCGCCGGGGAAACGAGACAGTACTAAACACAAGTTGCACTTTTCTCGGTTGAAACTTCTTTTGTTGTCCATGACTTCAAACGGTGTTTTTGTTTTTGGGACTTTGGTCGTTTGTCCTAAAGCTGAAGTGGTAGCATCAGGCTTGGGCCGTATCAAAATGTTGATACTGTTAAAACTTTCTCCTCATTTTACCACAGTGTACAGTATTACCAGTACAAAAAATGTATGAAGAAAGCCATTAAAGACGTCACTTTCACGTTCAGAGACTGAATTCCAAACACTATCATTACTGAAAATAGAATGTACATAATATAATAATAATAATAATAATAATAATGCATTGAACTTATATAGCGCTTTTCTAGACCCCCAAAGACGCTTCCCACACGCCCTCACATTCACACACTGCCAGTGATGGTAAGCTACTTGTAGCCACAGCCGCCCTGGGGAGGTCTGACAGAGGCGAGGCTGCCGTTTGGCGCCGTCGGCCCCTCTGACCACCACTAACACAGGCAAGTTGGGTGAAGTGTCTTGCCCAAGGACACAACGGCAGGATACCCCTGGCGGGAGCTGGAATCGAACCCACGACCCTCCGATCATGAGGCAACCCGCTCTACCACCTGAGCTACTGCTGCCCCAAATATGAACACCTTTTATTAAAAACACAACTTATTACAAAGATTTTTCACCAGAAAAAACTGCATTTTTACTTTTCCAGCTTCAACATAGCATGTTATGGATGGACGACTTTCTCTGCAATAACTTTGTAACACATTAAGTTATTATCTTTATACTTAATCTTTATTTTCTAAGAGCACCGCAGTTTTTTTATGACAGTATTGTCACAAATCCTGTTTCTTTTTTAAACACCGGCTGTACACGGTACTATGTGGTACTAGCCAGGCCTAGGCGGGTGAATGGAGGACACTGGTAAATGTGGAAATGCGGTGGCTTGGTGGGACCGACAACCGGATGGCCCAACAGAGGGTCCGAGTCCTGTTATTGGCGAAGGTTCTTAGACAAATGTGAGAGAACCACTTCATTGTGTTTTTTTTTTGTTTTTTTTATCTCCATTATCTATTTATGGCTATGCTACGTTAGAACGTAAGTAAAAGGCATGAAAATGTGTTTTAATCTAGCTTGTTTTCCAAGTTTGCCATTGCATCTTTAAGCTGTGAAAGGTTCATGTACATGAAGGCTAAACGCTGCAGCAACGCCAGCTGCAGACATCGTGTGTGTACTTAAATGCAGAGTTACTTTTTTTTCCTTCTCAAAAGAGATATGATAGTTTTATTTTGACAGATACTTGGTGAAAACTCACACTGGATACCTGCAATTAGGCACCCAAAAAAATCCACATAATCACCAGTCATCCCCAAATGGTGTCTAAACATATCATCCAAACCACGCGCACATGCAAAGTGACCGAACAGCTCCCACTGTGCTTAAATCCCGTTCGACTCACGGCTTCGCCGAATGGTTTTGAATGAAAAGCAATGTGGAAATTATGAACTACTCGGACAAAAAAGAATGAATTCCTTTGCAGGAAATGAAACTGCACGGTGATGCTAATTCAGATAAGCAGTGAGATCTTCGGGGTAAATGTAAGTCTCAAATAATGAGCCTTTAAAGGGACTCAAAATACAAAAAAACAAGTCTGTGAGCCAATAGTTTACCTCTTCCAACCGGACATGGTGAAACGGCTCTGGAGGATGGGAAATTATTCACGTTTCAAATGTGCGTGTGTACAAGGACAAGACCGCGAGGAGACAGGAGAAACACTGGTGCACAAAAAGCAAACAAAGCCCATGCAGCAGTAATCAAGTCCTCATTAGTCCTTGTTTTGTGTAGCGGTGCAGCCGAGCATCACACATTGCTGCCTCGTCTGACCGACTGTGGCCAAAGCTGGTCCTGACCCGTTTACCCAGATGTCCTCCGTGTTTCCAACTCAGCGGTCACGTACAGGAGGACGACTGTTTCGGATCACCTTTGTTGCAGAGAGAAGGGCCTCAATGCTGTTGAGTTCGGCAACTGTTGCAAACGTGTGTTATCAAAGAGCGTGGGCTGTCACATGGGTTCGGAGGGAACCAGCACAGGTGGTGCAACCAGAGACAGCTGTATCCAAACCGAGGAGTGTTCAAGGAGAGAAGTAGAAACGAACAAACAAAGGAGAGATGAGGCGAAGCAGATAGGTGTCGACAAAGAACTCTGTTCCTTCATTACTCCCTCCCCTCGGGCAGCTCATTTACAATCTCTAACTGCAAACACCTGACCATCCAGTGGGCAGGTTGCATGCACGCACACGCTGTGCACACGCCTTTAGGGTCATACCTGTCCTCATAAACACCCTTCTGCAGAAGCTCCACATTAAGTTTAAGGAATGCACTTGATCTGAGCTCACCATGCCCCTGGGCAGGCCCGGGAGTTTTGATCATTTTAACAGAGACAAGATTCTAATTTAAAAACTATCCCTGCACCAAGGAGAAGTCGAACCGCTTCAATCCCACTTCCTTCAAAACAGAGCAGAGATTACAGCGTCTCTACTGGCGGTGCCCCGCCCGCAGATGGAGCCGGCTCGTACAGGTTACGGTCTTGGCACCTGTTGCACTGGAACAACAGAGCCTCAGTACCTGGGAAACCAGATAACAGCAGTTAAGAGCTCTCAGTAGCTCTGCTTGTGTCAACAATGCCTCCCCTTTACTTTACCTGGACACACACACGAGCACAAGGAACCCTGCACTCAGAGGCGGATTTAGCCATTTGGGGGCCCAAGTCGAACACAGACAGGGGCCCCCTTACACAAAATTTTCGACAGTCTTATCTTTAACTAGATTTGCGAAACTCTCCCCTCTTCTGACACGAGTTATTTGCACTTTTTATTAGTCCTCCTCTTTTTCCTGTCTTTCTCACCCTTTGAATACCTTTAATGTTTGCTCTGCTTTCTTCTTCCTGTCAGCGCTCCTGTGCTTTTGCCTTTCTTTTTTTTTCTTCTATTTTCCATTCTGGTCTATGTTTTCCTCCCTTTAAACATTTTCCATTGTCTTTCCTTTTCAGCTTCTTTTTGATGTTTACGTAGAAAAACGACGTCCCTTTTGGAAGTGACGATAAAAGCTTTTTTAAAGCGAGCTGCTTCTTTCTCTTATTGGAGCCACGAGGACAACTCCCATTTCATGCTTCATGTTTTGACTACCGCTTTGAGTTTGTTACGAACGCTCCCGCCTCTCTTCTTCTTCTGCTTTCTCTTCTTATTCTTATTTGTGGTCTTAAGGCACTTGGCAAACAACAATTTGGTGCATTACTGCCACCACCTGGATTGGAGTGGAATGACTACTTTCTGTTTGTGCATTGGCGTCTTAAAGGAATAGTCCATTGTGGGATTAACAGAGAGGTGCCAGCAGTCAGGGCTAGGGGGCCCCCAACATAAGGGGGCCCCAGGCGGCCGCCGACCTGTGCCTAATGGTAAAACCGCCACTGCGTGCACTCAGTCACATGGAAACGTCCACAGCAAACGGTCCGGAATCGTTTTTTATGGTCAGATGTGTTTTATGACAACTGCTCACAATAAAATCACCCGTGTGCGCCTGAACTTCTGTGACGTTTGGTTCTGGGCAAACAAAGCAACTTTTTCCATGTTAGAGGAGATTTTGCTCATGGTCGTAATGCCTAGGTGGAACTTCCTTCATCCCGGGGTAGAGTTTTACCCCAAAGAGTGTGAAATGGAAGCTGAAGCTGGAAATCCATCCAGGACCCATCTGTCTGCCTAAATTCTTCCTGAAGGGTGTAAACAGATCTAGACGTAAGCCCTCCTCTATTATCCTCTGTAGCTCCATTCCCAGACACACCCATCTTCGCTCAAATACAGGAGAGGCTTCTGTGTGTGTGTGCGTGTGTGTGTGCGTGTGCATGTGCGTGTGCGTGTGTGTGTGTGTGTGTGTGTGTGTGTGATGGGCTCCCATTCTGCACCACCTTGGTAGCCTAGTGAACTAGTCTGGCTTGGCTTGCTTGGTGTTTTCTACGTTAGTTTGTTTGGCTCAAGTCTGAAGATGTGAAAATGTAAAAAAGGTGCTTTTCAACTACAGTTGCTACGGTGAGTGCACAGGTACCCTCACACACCCACAATCACAAGCAAATGAGAATGCAAATATAACACACACACGCATGCGCGCGCACACACACACACACACACACACAGAGCAAAGAGTTGTCAGATCAAAATTTGAACTTTTACTTTGTTAAATCTTCTAAACTAAAGTTATTTTAAAATGTATTTTTAACTTAACTTCCTCAACCTTTACCTCTTTACCAGGACCACTCACTCCAAAAGCAGCAACCTGATGACGTCATCAGGTTACAACTTTTGGTTCTAGGGTACTAGCGCAGGTGCTCCAGGTGTTTCCCGCCCTCACCTGGAAGATGAGCACTTTGAAGTTGTTCCTCTTCAGCAGGTGGTTGTGGTTCGACTCCAGCTTCTTCACCTGGACGGCCTGCTTGTCCAGGCGATCCTTCACCTCCTTCACGTGCACGCTGACTTTGCGGGACTTGTCCAGCAGCTTGTTGACGGAGACGTTGGCGAGGGCCTGGGACTTGTTCAGGCGGGTCACGTCGCCCTGCAGGAACTTGACGGCGCCCTCCAGCTCGCCCTGCCGCTGCTCCATCCTCCGCTGGTTGTCCTGCACCGTCTCCAGCATCAACACCAGCTTGTCCAGCAGCGCCACCACGGTGATGGCGCTCACCTGACCGGGGCTGCTCGGTCCCGGTGAGGTCGGGTTCCTCAGGCTGAAGCGGGACAGGGTCCCGGTGGTGGCGCCCGGTGAGGACGGGGCGGGGGAGCGGCTCGGGACCAGGACCTCCGTGGATTCGGGTTGCTGCTGCTCCAGGGTGTGGGTGCTGCCCGACAGGCTGCTGCTTGCCCGGGCGCCGGACGCGTCTTCTTCCATGGTTCACCTGGGAGAGGGGGGTCGGATGCTGCTGTCGCCTACTGCAGCTGCAAACTGAGTGCGAGTTGTGCAATTTCTTGGCGTGAGTTGACTCGGGCTCCACTCCACGCCCCTCACACGCACTAACACGCTGCGAACTTTAAAACACCTCCCCTGCGAGCCACAGGGACGGGCCAGGTTGCCGTGGCAACCGCGCGCAGGCCTGGCCCTGACAGCAGAGGTAGGGTTCTTCCTGGAGCCACGTGACCAGCAGCCATTCCACAATCAGCACGCCTGGCTGCTTTTGTTAAATAAAACACTGCTGCTGTTAGTTTAGAGCCCAATAGTCCTGGACTTCACCGGAGCAGAGCAACAAAACGTTTGGTGCTATAAAAAGCCCCAAACACACACAAATCAGCTTCCTGAAAGGCCTCCGTTGGGAGAAATAGAGTTCACCTCCTTTAGGAGGGAGGAGCGAAGGGCGTGTTCTTCTTAAAACAGGTCCAGGTTGCATTATTTATCAAATTTTGTATCGTCGTCAATTTCACATCACTCGATATCTCCAATCTAAAGGAGCAACATGTAAGAATTCTGCAGTGAAATAATCACAAAACATCTGATGTCTCACTCGTGTTGAAAGGAAGGATACATGCTGCATATTTTTCATCGCTAATTGAGGAGAATAAGAATAATCCTAATTTTTTTTCAGTACAGATGCTAAACTTACACAGAATCATAGCTCTGAACCATCTGTTCCCTTAGCCCTCAGCAGCAACGACTTTATGGGATTTTTCACGAGTAAAATTAATTCTATTAGAAACAAAATGATTAGCATCCTTCCTAATGCGATTTCTTCTTCCTCAGTAAGTGAGGCAGCATCAGAGGTGACTGTAGAACCTCATCTGTGTTTGAACTGTTTTGATGCAGTTGAGCTTTCAGATTTATCGTTCTCCACACTCTTGTTTTTGAGTTTTGTGTCACGGCTTGGGGCACACACACACACACACACACACACACACACACACACACACACACACACACACACACACACACACGGAAATGTGGAAATCCCTGTTTTAACAATGAGCTCATCTGATTCCTGGCATTCTGCCCTCTCTCTCTCTCTCTCTCTCTCTCTCTCTCTCTCTCTCTCTCTCTCTCTCTCTCTCTCCCCTCCTGTCTTTCAATCTCTTTGTCAGTATCTCTGCATATCTTTAATTCATAGTAGCACTTTCTCAGTCTTACATGTTCCAAAGTCAAATAGAACTGGAATGTGAGGGTTTGTGATACTGACTACGTTTACATGCAGCCAATATCCGGGTTATGATCGGGTTATGATCGGGTTATGGTCGGGTTAAGGTCGGGATTCGGGTTTCTGAGTTGATCAGAATAACCCGTTTACAAGCATAAATAGAAAGAGTTACCTCTAACTTGCATAACCCGATTTAAATGCGGACGTTGGGGTAGCGTCAGGACGTACGGACTACGTCCAGACGCAATATGTGTCATTTCTGGTTCTTCTTGTTCCGGTATCCGTGAAAACAACAACATGTTTCCCAGTTCGGAAGAGATAGCGACCGCGTTTGTTTGCGCTTTAGTTTCCTCGTCACTCCAAAAGTGTGGTGCTGTGCCGCGACTCGCCATGTTGCTCCAAACTTGTTGTTTACTTCTGGTGTTCTGGCGCATACAAGACGTCTCGCTACTCAAAAGACCAAGATTCCTTGCGAACAGAGCATGTGCAGAACACACACTTCGATGGGGATATCCCGATACGCGTTTACACGACCAAACATTCGGGTTAGAAAAGGGTTACCCCAGGTGTAGTAACCAGGTTTTTAAAAACCCGGTTATGAGCATATCCGGGTTTTTGGCGGTGTTTACATGGACCTGCGGAACCGGGTTATTGTGAATATTCGTGTTTTAAAAGGGTTACTGGCTGCGTGTAAACGTAGTCATTGTGTCTTCAAACATTGAAACGTTAACTTCCTTTGACTGAGTTTAGGCTTTCTCTGAGAACTGAATGTGCACACAGAGAAGCAACGCCTTGGAAAATTAATAAAAAATACTCAAATCCTCGTTTTTAAACCTCAATAAAGGAGAGAAAACACGAGTTTCTCAACCTTGCAGGATCAAGGGTCTTTTGGAGGGATTTTTTTGCTCTTTGCTTTCCACCAAGAGAACCATGGACAGAATCATGAGACATATTTAAGGCATCCATGCTTTCGTTCTTTTTAAACACAGAAACAGTTTTGTTTACCTGTTATTGACGCTACAGTTTCGCCGACAGCTGCCGGCTTCTTCAGGCTGACGCTGATGGTGGCGCGTCATTTCCTTCTCCGTTTATCTGCGGGCAGCAGAGGACGTTGTCGCCCTCTACTGCCCGCTCTCCCCTCTCCGACGATGCAGTCCCATGCGTGGTCCAGCGTGTAAACTCCGTTGTCCCTGTTCATGGTCCCACATCCACGTCTCCTTATCTCGATTGCTTCCTTGATCCATCTTTTGTATTTTTGTTGTTCGGTGGTTATGATCCGTGTGCTGTCCCAGTCCATTATATGGTTTTCTCTTAAGCAATGATCTGTTACGGCTGACTTTTTTATTGTACTTTCTGCTTCTTCTTTTGCTGCTCGTCGGAGAGGGGAGAGCGGGCAGTAGAGGGCGACAACGTCCTCTGCTGCCCGCAGATAAACGGAGAAGGAAGTGACGCGCCACCATCAGCGTCAGCCTGAAGAAGCCGGCAGCCGTCGGCGAAACTGTAGCGTCAATAACAGGTAAACAAAACTGTTTCTGTGTTTAAAAAAGAACGAAAGCATGGAATTAGAAAGACACAGCAAGAACACACCTAAGATATTTAAGGCATGGTAAAAAAAAAAAAAGCCCTGACGGGTACCAAGTGAGATTAGTGGGAACCCCTGGGGTGAGTGCAGTTTGCAGCTCTGAACATGTCTTATTGCTTGTCACATCATTCAAACTTCACCAAACTTTAGGGTGTGATTGTTTTAAACTCCTGACGTTGTTTCCACTCGTACTCATCTTCCTCCTCTTTTCCAGGTCTGGGTGTTCGGAGCAGCAGTTGTTCCCAGTGTTGGCATCCACTCTGGATATGCCCGAATCACCTCTACTTGCAGATGATGAAGGAGCAGCCTCACCAGTCGACCGGATCACCTCCACTGGCACACTTTGATGTGGAGGAGCAGCAGCTCTCTGGGATGCAGCGTTGTTTAAATGTTATCAGCGGGATGCAGAGACACGCACACATAGCAACAGACACGTTTTCCTGTCAGATTCCTCCATTTCCTCAATATTTAAAATATGTCTTGTTAAGCACGTCCACCCCAAGGCCAGCTGAGAGCATCCTGTAACCATTGCAGTTCTGTCTCTCTGCAATTTACTTCCTGCTGCACAGCTTTGAACTCAAGGCCGTTTAAATGTTCAAACCCTTGAAGTTTTTCCGCAAGATGTTCTTCGATCTGCCACATGTCTGTGGCTAGATGTCATCAGCACTTGTTTTGATGTTTTTTTTTTTTTTTTCAAATTTAAAGGGGACAAATTATGCAAAACTTACCTTTTGCTTCCTTTTTTGCTGCTATGTGCATCTCTACTGCCACTATAAACACTCCAAAAATGGAGAAAGAAGTCCATCTGTTTTCTGTGGTTGGTTAGTTTTAGGAAAAATGTGCCTAAAACAACCTGTTTCAATAATTTCTCATTTGTGATGTCACAAAAGAGAAATTAGAATCAAACCACCTCCATTGTGCAAAAGCAAGCTCCTGCTGGGGGAGCAGCATTTTTACTCCAAGCCCCTCCCAGAGGGCAGAGATTCTCAGCTTATAGCAGCCTGAAGCCTAGCTTATACTTCTCCGTCTGCACCGGTGTGGTGCCATTATTAATTACATAGGAAGTGTTACAAAAAGCCATTATCATTGTCCAGCAGGATCGCAGTGACGGATGGAGTAGAGCCCCTTTTTGGAACTACCGGTACCTGTGGAAAGCAACAGAGACCGCAAGCCTGTGATTGGTCAGAACGCTGCCATTCCCTCTAAAAAATAATAATAAAGCCAGAGCCGAACATATCTAGCGACAGACACAGAGCAGATTGAAGAAGGTCTCACGTAAAAAGTCATACGAAATAAACGTTAATGCACCACTGAAGAAGTACAAAGATATGCGGCAAACTTTTTATTCGTGTCAGGAAATTACGGGAAACGTGAATTTAGAGGTGATGACTTGACGAAGAGGTGGAGGGCAAATTTGTCTGTGTTCAAAAGCGCTCCGCCCTCTGCTGTCCTGGCAGAAAATTGCTTTACACCGACACAGCAAGGGAGAAGTATTAAAGGAACATACCTCCATCAAATCTGTGTGTGTGAGCGCAAAGTTGTTGACAGAGGAGCATAAACAAGGGTTGAGTGGGGGGTAGGTGGGCGTGGCCAGCTCCAGCTATTTTTCTTAAAGTGACAGAGTCCATAAACAACTCATTCTGGAAGGTACTGAAAATGTCAAGAGCTTTAATTGCTTTACATGAGTGGGATTTTGTGCACAGAAATGAATAAACATGTTATGTATGGACCATAAAACTATCACAACTTAACAATAAATGTCATAATATGTCCCCGTTAAATGAAGTGGTGTGCTTGCACTCTTTGTAGGTCTTGACAGCCATGAATTAAATCTGGCATGTCTCAGTCAACTGTTGCGGGCCTGCCACAGAGAGCCTGTCGAAGGATGATGGTGTTGTACATCTCCACACCCCCGCTGAAATAAAAGTATAAACTAAGTTCAGTGATGATCCTGGCCATCCTGCAGGAACCTCCTTTTGACTGTCTGAAAAAATATGCCTGAAATTGGAGAGACCCAGATCTCATCTGATGAACTGAAACATCTGTGGGAAAGCACGGCTGTCGTCTATATTGACGTGACAGCCACAGTTAGCCATGTTTCCGTCACAGCTCAGCCTTTCCACAGTGAGTGCTCCTTGCAGATTCTTCTGTGCTAGCATGTCGCGCTAACACCTTTTCTCTCAGGGCCACTCGCTCAATAAGCTTCAAAGCAGTAAAACCGAAGTGAGAGGTACACACTCACCAAAAACAAGTTAGCTTCCTCCTCAGAGCTAAAATCTCAGTGTTCATGTAGCCTCACTCCGCTTCTCCCTGGAGATGGACACTTCTGTTGACATGAAAGCGTAAGCTCTCCTTCCTCCTTCATAAACTCTTGACTTTTCCCACTTTTAGCCTTGGGATATTGCAGAGCGAAGGGAATGACCATCCCATCCTGTCCCTTTCCTTTTCTTTGCTGTCCTTTTCCTCAATCCCTTTCTCATCCTCCCTCTGTAACTTATCTTTTATTTTCCAGAGTTCTTCCAGGTTTTCTGATGGTATGGAATGTTTCACAATTTCCAGCTGCTCAGTAAAGGAATGCTATCTTTCCCTTATCTGTTTTGTAGCACTTGCCATGTAGTTAAATACCTTTCAGCATTCCTGCAGCTGCGTATGATAAGCTGTACCACAAAAACAGTATGTTATGCACAGCAGCGTTAGTAGACATGGAAAATAGAAAAGGTCTGGGGGAGTCAACTTTTAAAAAACAGCATCAGGAAATACACACATTTGCCATCTGGAGGCAAGTGAGAGAGAAATGCAAGTGCATGATCAATTTAGTTTAAAAATCTTTATTGAAGGTATTTTAAGGGTTAAACCCCAAATTCTCTTGTTTTTATTTTGGAAAAAGACGCTTTTATAATTCAAATTTTCAGCCTGATGAGCTGCTGCACCGGCGATCCAAACACTCAAGTAAAAGTTGTGCGTGAAACTGTTGCAGCAGAGACAATGAATGGCATACGCTCTCATTTCAACAAGCATGCTGAAACAAGTTAGATCAACTGAATCAAGCTTTGCATCATGGGAAACCTCCACGGAGCTGCCTGAATGCCCTTCAGCAGCTTAATGGCACTTGTGTAGACCGCTGGCTGTTGGCATCGAGCAGACGATTTTCCAAGAATGTTTGATGAACAACTTTTTCTCACACAGCGAGGGAGTTCAAATCCCAAGGGAGCATTCTCCTCTTTTGGAAAACAGAATTAGCTTGATTAATTGCATTTGTGAAATAAACATGTAAGAATGCAGAAATAAGCACTTGTTGGTTCTTTTATTCCCCCATCTTTTAATCAGGCTTGCACAATTTTGGATCATTGATGAAATGGTTATGAAGACTTGATGCTATAAGAGGTTTAGTCCACATCTGTTTAACGAACCATAAGACGTAAGATTCCGTAGTAAATATGAAATCAATCTTATGGATCTTTGGGTACTTTTAACCAGAAGACTGGAACTTTTTATTGCAGGGATTATGGAACACTTCGTATTAACTGAGGTACAACAGAAGAGAGAGTCACCTTTAAAAAGTTTAAGAAGATTTATTTCTAAACAATTTTAAACAAGACTAACTCTAAATTCTAAGTGAATGGATGAATCGTGGTGTGGATGAGACGTGAGACGGATGGTGTGTGTGTGAGTGATGTCATCAGAACTCTCGTATCCAGAGAAGCAAGTCTGAATGATGTTGTGATGTTTTGCTCCTAAGCTATGATCGGAGTTTCATAAACACATCAGACGCCATTTTGTCGCTCCACACACACCCTTCAGGATGAGACCTCCGTACAGATCCAGAATGCCCGGTCCTCGGACCCCCCTTCGGTACCGGAGCCGATGAAACAGCGTCAGCAGTACCACAGACCAGTCTTTGGATTGTCTCCAGGTAAAAAGCGACAGTTGGTTGACAGCATCAGATGGACCCGGAGGGTCAGTGAGTTCAGCTTTTATTCTGAAAGGAACCGTTGCTTGGTTGGTAAAATGCAACAGATTTCATCCAGCTTGTTGGTTCTTTGCTTGAAAGGAAGTCCGGGTGGCCGGTCCGATACTTCTCTTAGAATGCGGTGAACTGCTGAGAACTGTAGAGAACTCAGAGAACTGAACTAAGATGGCGTGGGACTGGTTTTATTAATCTGGATGTTTTGATTTACGGTTGAATCAAAGTTGGCAGATTTATAAACACCACAGAGACTATGCCACGCTTCAGAAAGGAAGGTTCCGATGCGTTTACATTACGTGTCATCAGATGTCTAGTGCAGCTAGATTAAAGTCACATTACTTATTAAAACTTACTAATCATAACATTGTCATTTCACAGATTGGTCAACATCATATCATTGACTAACACTTTGTTTGATTAGCTTTATTAAAAATAGAAAGAGTTCTTCTTCCTCATTCTTCTCTTGGGCTGGAAAGGAAGCAGTTTAGAAGCAAATGCATGAGACCTTGAACAATATCTCATGCAGATTAGTTCCTGCTGAGGAGAGAGGGAAAATGACTTTTAGGTGGAAAACAGTCATTTCATTCCGTTACAAAGCTCTAACTTACACATTTATTTTACATTCATCAGTGTTTACAACTGTTTAGAAAGAAATCTGAGCAAAAACTAAAAATGCATCCCTTCATCTCAAAAGCAGCAGAATAATCTGCTGATTGGACAGTTTAGTTTATGACAGAGTTGTCACCACCCAATCAGTGTGAAGTTAAAATCGACTATTTATTAATATTAGAGTCAGACCAATGACTGTAGAAAACATGGATGAACCCTCGGCGCTGTCACCCATAGGTTCCTGAAGAGATTAATTGAAACCCAGTGGGCGGTTCCCACCACCGCCATCTTGACTGTGTCACATGTCTCATCACTTCCAGAAAATACAAATGTGGAGCAGGGCTGTGAGGGTGGGGCAGATGACTTACACTAGGGCTGGGGAATATATTTAAATATTAATATAATTTCAAATAAGAAACAACCTCCCCTAATGATCACAAAACGAAGGCCAAAAAACTGCAATGAGCAGGCCTTTTTACGTGACTTGGTGAAAGAACAATGGCGTAGAATTAGAATTATTCCTACTGTTGAGGACGCTTTCACATTTCAAAAACTCCTTTATCTCAATTTCAGATAGACATGCTCACTTCAAAAAGTTTGTTAAAAATCGTTTCAGTCCCTGGATCAGCACTGAATTTTCAGAACTCATTCACCGAAAACATCAGTCTTGGTGAAAAACAAAGTCATCCAAGAATACCTGCAACTGGCTATCCTTCAGATCTACAAGGAACAAATGAACCCAGTCAATCAGAAAGGCAAAATCTGACTATTATAAGAACCAGCTTCTGATGAGTAGTTCTGACCCCAAAACTCTGGCAGACGGTCAAGACTATGGAAAATACCAACAACTCCTCACACTTGCCAAATGCTATCAAATCTGAGGGCATTGTTATCTTAGATAAAATCAAAATGGTAAAATCATTCAATAATCACTTCATCAAGTCTGGTCATGCCTTTGCAACAGCTTCACCCGTCTCTGGGGTCTCTGACCTCAACCCAGCTATGATTCCCTCTCCAGTCTCCACAACCAATTCCTGTTTCTCCATTCAACGGTCTCAGGTAAATGAGGTACTTGACGAGTTTCTCAGGTTAGAGCCTCATAAATTAACCAGACTGGATACTCTTGACGCTTTTTCTCTAAAAATAGCAGCACATGTTGCTGCTGCACCTAGGCCTATTAAACATCTATTTAATCTGTCCAGACAAACTGGTGCATTTCCGCAGGACTGGACATTTGCCTCTGTCACTCCACCTTTTAAAGGGGGAGCTCATTTGGACCTAAGCTGTTATAGGCCTATCTCTCTATCTAGAATCCAGCAGTATTATTACCCCCATGCAGTCCGGCTTCAGAACTGGCCTTGAGTGTGTCTCTGCAGCACTTAAAGTGATGAATGACAATAAGAGATATTGTGTGGCTGTGTTTTTTGACTTGACTAAAGCCTTTGACTCCCAGGGGTATTCAATCCTGGGCCTGAAAGGCCTGCATTCAGCATGTTTTTTGTTTGAACTCTAATTCAACTCTTATTCAATCAATCAACAGGTGATTAACAGGCTTCTGTAGAGCCTGATGAGCTGCTACACAGGTGATTCAACCACTGAATCAAGTGTGTTGGAGCAGAGACACCACTAAAACGTGATGTATGCCGGCCCCAGGACCAGAATTAAACAACCCTGCTGTGGCCCATAAGATCTTACTTAGCAGGCTCAAACATATGGGACTTTCTCAGGCATCTGCGGCATGGTTTAGAAGTTATGTCTTAGACTGTACGCAAACAGTGAGAACAGAGGGTTACCAATCTGCTCTTCTACCTCCATCAATGGGCGTTCCTCAAGGGTCGATACTGGGCCCAACCTTATTCAAAATCTTTATTAGTAACATTGCTTGTGCTACATTTATATGCGGACGACACCATTTTATATTCATGCTGTTCTCCCTGAATGCTGATTTGTCATCCTTGCAGCACAACTTAAATTGCCTTCAACATGCCTTCTCCAACCTTCATCTTCATTTAAACACAAGTAAAACAAAGTCCATGATCGTCAGCCGTAACTTACTGCAGTCAACTTGCCACACTAGTATTGTTTCCCTGGATGGTGCAGAACTACAACTTGTCAGTTTCTATATGTATTCGAGTGTCTTGACAACGCACTTTCATTTGACATTCACATTAATTCAATTAAACTGAATTCAAGTTTATTTATAAA